ATGAAAATTTGGTAACACTTTAGTTTAGGAACCAATTCTCACTATTGACTAGTTCCTTATTAGCATGCCTATTATGAACATATTGGCTGTTTATTAGCACATATTCTGCATGAGCATATTTTACATCCCTAATCCTATCCAATACATAAATTTAACAACTACCTTACTAACTATTAATAAGCAGCAAATTAGGAGTTTGAGGCAAAAGTCGTAGTTAATGGTTTGCTAATAGCAAGAATTGGACCTTAAACTAAAGTGTGACCGAAAAATCTGTCATCATTGACTCACCCTCATGACAACCCCAGATATTCGTTTATCTTTGAAACACAAATTAATTTCTAATGAAAAGCTAAGAGATTTCTGTCCCTCCATTGAAAGTCCATGCAACCAAATCGTTAAGGCTTCAAAAGTTTATAAAGACATTTTAAAAGTAATCCACACCAAACCATGAAACGGTTTAATCCAAGTCATATTCATCCATCATATCTAACAAGTATATCATATCTACCATATTCCGTTTACCATATTTGATGAGCTCTATGTATGTGCGTTGATCAGTGTTTATATGTAAATAAAAGCCTAAATTAAATCTGTTCGTCATATAAAGTTATTTTGTCTCTTCAGAAGATTCGGTTTAAATAACTTGATTCATACGGATTACTTTATGTACTTTTTTAAGCTTCAAAGTTTTGGTTGTGTGTGGACTTTCAAAAAAGGAATAGAATTAAGGTTTTATTAAAAATATTTTCATTTGTATTTTAAAGATAAACAAATGTCTTAGAGGTTTGGAATGACATGATTTGGTTATGTAAATGTACACCCGAAATGTGGGAGTACACCCTCCCAAAATATATATATATATATATATTTTTTTTTACCCAAATCATGTTGTTTTAAGCTTGTATGATTTTCTTTTTTCAGTGGAACATAAAAGAAAATATATATGTGACCCTGGACCACATAACCAGTCATAAGTCATATATTTGTAGCAATAGCCAACAATACATTGTATGGGTCAAAATTATTGATTTTTCGTTTATGCCAAAAATCGTTAGGATATTAAGTAAAGATCATGTTCCATGAAGATATTTAGTAAATGTCCTACTGTAAATATATTTAAACTTAATTTTTGATTAGTAATATGCATTGCTAAGAACTTAATTTAAACAACTTTAAAGGCAATTTTCTCAATATTTTGATTTTTTTTGCACCCTCAGATTCCAGATTTTCAAATAGTTGTATCTCGGCCAAATATTGTTCTATCCTAACAAACCTTACATCAATGGAAAGCTAATTTATTCAGCGTTCAGATAATGAATAAATCTCAATTCCAAAAAAATGACCCTTATTACTGGTTTTGTGGTCCAGGGTCAAGAATCCTGGTAACCAAGTTTTGGTTTCCATTGCCATCCATCGGGAACCAAAACTGTTTGGTTACCAACATTCTTCCAAATAACTTAATGCTCTGCAGAAAAAAAGAAACTCATATAGATTTGAAGCGACATGATTTGTGTCAGTAAATTTAGCCAGAAATGTAATTTTTGGGTGAACTATCCTTTTGAGGGTCAGCTTGATTTGTGAGCTGTAATATGGAGCCAGCTGGTAACCGTCCTGTTCCTCGTGAGCCTCTCACCTTGAAGCTGACGTACTGTAAATGATTGGAGTGCCTCTTTATGATTTGCTTTATTAGGTCAGGATGAGTGGCCTTCAGGTAAGAGCTGGCAGGCTGGTTGAGCTCAAACTCAAAGCACCTCCACAGCTCGGGCATGTGGAAGGCCTCATTCCAGCCGCGGCAGACCTGCGAGGCGAAGGCGCAGGTACTGGAAGATGTGGAGCAGGATCTCCTGTGGCAGTCGAGCCCAGTTGGACAGCAGATCTCCAGGGTCCTCGGCGGGCTGTCTGACCCTCTTACAGGAGTCCACCGGCCCCTCGCAGGATGAGGGGCTGTCCTCACGGTCTCTGTTCAACCTCCTTTTCATTTTTGGGGGCCTGAGAGCTGTGAAGTATAAACAGGCCCAATGCAAACACACTCACACACACACAGTGGCAGATGCAAACATGCAGAGAAGCACGTTTGAACACGAGTTTATTTTACAGGTTTAGCTATATTTATTATGTTTAAATGGCTTTGAGCTTTCCTGGAAATAAGCTAAACTGCTTTAATGCAATTACAAACAAATTCCTATATGTGACCCTGGAGCACAAAACCAGTCATAAGTATCACGAGTATATTTGTAGCAATAGACAACAACACACTGTATGGGTCAAAATGATCCATTTTTCTTTTATGCTAAAAACCATTAGGATATTAAGTAAAGATCATGTTCCATGAAGATATTTTGTAAATTCCCTACCGTAAATATATAAAAACGATATTTTTGATTAGTAATATGCATTGCTAAGAACTTCATTTGGACAACTTTAAAGGCAATTTTCTCAATATTTTGATTTTTTGAGATTCCAGATTTTCAAATAGTCGTATCTCTGCCAAATATTGTCATATATCCTAACAAACCATACATCAATGGAAAGCTAATTTATTCAGCTGAACTGCCATGGATGAGATATTCTCCATGAATAAACACATCATTAATCCAATAAACACACTGCACACATGCATTTAGTCACAGAGACGGTGATCTAGTTAGATTAAGCCAACAACATCCTTACTGCGTAATCCCAAATTACCCGTTTGCGCGTTGCTCATGTTATCTCCGCTCAGCTCGCTCGCAAACAGTGAAAAATAAGCAAAATCCTGAAAACTCGTCTGAACGTCAACCAGGACCGGAAGCTGAACACATCCGAGCGGCGCAGAGCACACGCATTGGAGACGAACGAGGGGGGGTTTATGTTGTTTTCTCGGGAGTCTGGGTGCGCACGTCTCGCCGATATTGCTGGTTGACCTACTTCTTGCTGCGCTGAGTACCGCGGGAGATACCAGCGTCCCAGCCTCCTCCAGCGCTGGAAATGGCGCTGTTGTTGTTGTTGAGAGTCAGGCGAGCGTGTGTGTGTGTGTGTGTGTGTGTGTCAGCGTGAGCAGCTTAGTTTGGGCGGCTGCCTGTTGTTCTGTGACTGGACTCTTCCTCCAGGGGGCGCTCACTCAGAAAGATCAACACTTCTTAGAACAGTATTCAGTTTTTTCTTATGATAGACATTTATGAGTAGACGCTTTTAATATGGGATTCTAATTATTAGTTTGTGAGGGACATACTAATAGAAAGTCGTCCAAGCATTCGCTAAAAACAAACCCTGTAGTGACAGACGACTGTGATTGGTCGAGCGGAGAAAGGTAACACGCACCACGTGACAATAACAGCAGCATCCGTGACTCTGTAATACAACAAAGTTGCTATTGTTGTGCTTTTAAATGCGCTGAAAGTGCGCCAGTTTACGTAAATGTGACCCTGGACCACCACAAATCAAGTCATAAGGGTCAATCTAGGTATATATCTCAAGGTATATATAAAGAAAAAATTATAAAGAAAAAAACCGTATTAAATTTGTCCAAATGAAGTTCTTAGCAATATAACTAATCAAAAATTAACTTTTGACATATTTACGGTAGTAAATTTACAAAATATCTTCATGGAACATGATCTTTACTTAATATCCTAATGATTTTGGAATAAAAAAAAAATCGATCATTTTGACCCATACAATGTATTGTTGGCTATTGCTACTTATGACTAGTTTTGTGCTCCAGGGTCACAAATGTGCACAGAATTCAGATAGCTTTATTGGCATGACAAAAACACATTGTGCATTGCCAAAGCATACATAGGAATAGAGAACATACACAACAGAAAGTATTGGAACAATACAGCAATTGAAATAACATTTGAACAAGTAATATTGAAAGAAGAACGTTAGAACAATGAAGATATTTATATAAACGTATATATGCACTCACATAAACATATGATAATTAGTGAAGATTGTGTAAGAAGTTTAACTAATAAACTGAATAACTGAATTCAACATTATCAGTCATGTGTATTGGTTGGTTTGGTGTGAGTTAGCCATATATTTACTGGATTATAGTTGGCAGGCATAAATCTTGCAGCTATATTTGCACATACAGACTTTTCGCCGAGAATGAAGGGGAGTTTTTCAGATGGGGTGCGATTATTAAATTGGGGATATATTTTGGGATAGATCATAGTAGTGGTTTTTGATGGCTTCGTATTTGGGGCATTTCGTGAGGAAGTGCAGCTCTGTTTCAATCTCTCCCAGACTGCAGTATATACACTATTTTAAAACTTATTTGGTAGATAATGTCGGTGTTAGGTGTGCTGTCTGATTTTATTTATTTATTGCCAACTTTATACGTTTTAAGGCAGTTTGAAAATCATCTTACATTACATCTATTCAAAATACAGTGTTATTTGCATATAAATTCCAATTGGCTGGCTTTCTCACATCTGTTTTGCATTCTGGATTCTGATTGGTCTTCTCACACAAACACACACGCGGACAATTTTTGACTGACGCGGCTTATCCACCTTTTTCTTGTCGTAAAAATGGGCGTGGCCATTTGTAAATTCTATGGGTCTCTGCATCCAGCTATTTTTAGCTGTACAAAACCGTTCGTTTTGCTGCTTGATATTGAAACTTGGTGTGTCTTATATTATTTTAATGTATTATCTTATTTATGAACACACTGGTTTGTAGTGCAAACAGTTTTACCGTTTACTGCACGTTATTTACCTAAAGCGGTTAATGATCGGGAAGTCTCACCCATAGGCTTACTTCAGCGTTGAAGAAAAAGGTGGATATTTTATGCATAAACCATAGCCAAATTTAAATGCACCCAAATAAACCTTACATTTATACTGGTATTTCAGGAAATAAACGTACCGTATCAGAAACGACGTCCGGTTCGCCAAGCTCCGCCCATCTGAGGCTCCTAAAACTTGCTATCCGTCTTTTATATACTTTAATTTTCGAGCTTGCATGTTTCAGGAATGAATGAGAAACGAAAGAAAAGCACAGGACACTCCTTTTGTAATGTACCTTGCTGAACAGAGAACCCGGTTTATTATTACCATTCAGCTCCATCCACAGATAATAATACAAAGCAGATTCACAAGTTGCAATTTTTTTGTCTTTTACAGCAGCTGTTTATCACACCCCCAAACATTCCTTCCTATATGCCTCCAAAACAACCGCTAAATAGCCACAATTTCTAATATATCGCTTGTTTTGCCTCACATTCCTTTGATTTGGTGTGAAGACTGGCCCCAAGGAGTCGTGTTCTCACAATACAAAAGCAGAACATACTCACCTTCGCTTTTAAAATGACAGAAAAAAGGGGTTTATACCACGTCATTGAGACGAAAGGGCAGACACCGCAGACAACAAGCCCCTCGATAACGATCTGACTACAGAAATGATACCGCACTTGCCGGGGAAAACACAACACTGTATCAAAATGTACAGTGGCTTTATTGACATACATTCCATATTGTTTACATCTGTGAGGAGGCACGCCCAGTATTGCACTTCATTAAAAGTTCTGGCTCAAAACATAACCCAGAATATCAAACGAAACTGAAGTGTAGAGAGTAGCAACGTCGGGATACACATATGAAGGGTTACTGTCATTATATACAAGATTAGATAAATCGTACACTATTTTCCCCCAGCGTCACATTCTAAAGTCCTCTTATAGCATTTGAATCTTTAGCCGTCAAACCATGATGCACTCCGAAGTGAAGGAATACTGTACAGGATTACGAAAAAAAAATCAGTTTACATACAACAATAGAATCTTAAATTTGTATTCGAGAAGCTGAAATCATGGCCCATCCACGTGGTCTCGGATCCCAAAATCCTCCATACATTGTTACCCTTCAGTGGTCAGGAGGTGTGCAACGTTTATACAAGCCGCAGGGTTACAACGGCTGCATGCAAACATGTCACAACGTTATTTTTTAGTTCTTTTTTTTCATTCTTCTGCGTATAAAGAGAGGGAGGATGCACCCTGGAGCACAGCAGCCCGTCACAGCCCCCTCAGAATGGGACGTCCGGTGTATCTGCTCTCGGGCTGCGCTGAAGAGGGAGTCGGCCGCCACAGGAGGGTGAATATATATATATATATATATAGAGAGAGGGCGATCATTACGGGAGCCTGGCGTTTAGAAGGTATGGGCATTTCTACACACGCCGCAGCCCAGAGCGAACTCCTCTCCGGTGGGAGGATGGACCACATGCAGGGGACACTCGCTTCCTTCTAACTGTTTTCCTTTTGGTCCTGTGAGGGAAGAAAGAAATTGAAGTCAACATGTTGTTGGCTTAAGAAGTTTCAATAACAGCTTGTAATGGAACAAAGGCCTAATTCAAAACGACGTGAGTTTCAGACAGACCAAAAATGGTGGTGGGACTTTTTTTTTTTTTTAATTCAAGCATTTAAGTGTTGTACCAGCAGGACAATGAGGCAGCTCTTCTTTTGGGACACTGGTCATCCTCTGGAAATCATCATGACAGGCGTTGCAAAAATGTGTCGTCCCAAAGCAGAAGAACACAGCCACAGAGCAACAGTAACGACATTTATACTCCAGGAAATCTGTCCCGTGTTTAGAGCACATCTGCAGCAAAAAGAAAGAGCTCTAAACAACCTCATTCCAAAGCAGCACCTTCAACGTCACTATCACTAAGCTTTAGACAACTCTTCCAAGTCACGAGATAATATAGTTTGCAGAAGCACGAGTATGAACTCAACGAGGCTGCAGAATAGACGAGTTTCCCATTCAGTGTAATGATGATACACCTAGGCACTTGTTAGAAACATAAATGTTTCTCTGGAAACATAAATGCTTTAAAAAAAATCACGTGTAGGGTATTACTGATGTATGTTATGGTGTCGAAAAAAAAACTTGTTTTTAACCACAAATCTTATTTTAGGCATTTAAAAAAAGGCATTGACTTTGGGACAACCGAACTGGGTTTCTGGGTTTTCAGACTCGTTTCTGCAGCGGATAATATAGTTTGCAGAAGCACGAGTATGAACTCAACGAGGCTGCAGAATAGACGAGTTTCCTATTCAGTGTAATGATGATACACCTAGGCACTTGTTAGAAACATAAATGTTTCTCTGGAAACATAAATGCTTTAAGAAAAAATCACATGTAGGGTATTACTGATGTATGTTATGGTGTCGAAAAAAAACCTTGTTTTTAACCACAAATCTTATTTTAGGCATTTAAAAAAAGGCATTGACTTTGGGACAACCGAACTGGGTTTCTGGGTTTTCAGACTCGTTTCTGCAGCCATCTATTGTGTTAAAAACAGAATCATAAACAAACATGAAATGTGCCTGGTTTTGTTCCCAAACACAGTGTTGTCCCACTGACCTGTGCTCTGGACACATCTGAGCACGCACCACAGATGAGCTCACGGGGATCATAATCGTCGCCTTGTCCTGCCTCGGCATCACAGCGAGCTTCTCCCCCAAAATAGGCCTGGATGAGTCAGAAGTCACACTGTTAGCACAACAGCTGGAGAAATGGCTTCATTATGGCAGTCTAAATCTCATTTCATGCTGGCAAATAGCAAATAGCTCTTGCTCTACAGGAGTGAACTGCGTTTAATCATTTTTGCCAACCATGTTTTTCCATTCTATTCACAGTAAACAGAGACATCCTTAAAGGGACAGTTCACTCAAACCCAACTGTTCTCTTTCTGAAAGCTTCCTCGGCCATAATATACAAGGACGATTGTTTCAAACCACTGCTTCTGTGCTCCACTGAAGGTTTGTGAACACCACAGAAAACAAACAAGACTCGTGAAGATCGAACCTTTTTGCACTTGAAGCAGCTGATTACCCACTCAGCCTGACTTTTAACTCAAAGTGAGTCCAGACCAGCTTATTTACCTTGCAAATAGGGCAAGACATGAACCCGAAGGTTATCCTGGGCCCAAGCCAGCGGTTCTCCAGAACCCTTCTTGTGCACTGAAGATGGAACACGTGACTGCAGTCCAGCTGCAAATAAACCAGGACAGACAGTTACACGTTGACCTCCTGTATGTATGCAACTCTATATCCTCTATATGCCATCACACACAGTGACAGTATTCTTCTACTGTACCTGGATTGCTGGAGCAGCAGACAGAGCCTCAGTGAAGCAAATCATACACATATCATCAGCGTCCTGTTTCAGACAGGCTGTGGTTTTGTCACAACCATGTAAACAGGGCAGACACAGCTCTTCATTTTTGACCCCTCCACACGGGTGACCGCACGGATGAGTCTTACTGCAGGCCAGCTTTGCATACTCCTACACAACAGTTAAAATACACAAGTATGCTTACGAGATCACTGAATTCCAGGAAAACATTTCACAGTGTAAAAAAATCATATCATTCTGCCAAAAAAAGTGGCATTTTGAGTGAATACCTGACAGTCTTGGTCTGAACATACACTTCCTACTGCAGACAGCTCTGTGCCGTTCCTGGTGCCACAGAAGCGGCAGACGTCTGAACTGCTGGAAGCTGGTTTCCCTGAAGGAAGTACAATAATGCCATTTAAGCTATAACTAGCAATAAAATAAAGCCACTAGTCAAATAAAGAGGAATACTGGAAATAGGACACGTCACAGCTGTGGCCTAGCGGTTAGCGGTCAGAAATTATGCAGGCCTCAGGGCAAAAATGCCACCAAAAGTGACAGAAATGCCACAGATATTTAAATAGTGGGGGGGAAAGCATCCCTGTTGTGAATTGTAGTGATGGGTTTAGTCCCTTTGTTGTGACCTGTAGCTGTATTTACAGTCTCAGAGGCGAGTTTAGTTGACTGTGTAAGATTAATAATAAACAAACAAACAAAAAAAACCCGCAATGAAAACCCTGAATGTGAAGAAAACACTTCAAAAAGCTTGAAACAGTCAATATATAAGAATCTACAGTAAGAGCTGTCTCGTAACAGTGTTCTCAAGTCTTGTAAGTTACTTACAGCTAATTTTATATAGGATTTGATTTTATAGCCAACAGGCATAACTGCTCTGACTGAGAATTTAATAATACTTTTACATTTATGCATTTGATGAATTGCATTTAAGGTACACACTTGATGACTTGGGAATCAATCCCCTGACCTTGGCATAACTAGCGCCATTCTCTACAGTTTGAGGTTTTGCAAAATAAGGGCCAATTTGACCAAACAGGGAAAATTAGCGCGAGAGCACAATTCCAAAACAGCATAACTAGCACCATAACTAGTTGGCATAACTAGCGCCATTCTCTACAGTTTGAGGTTTTGCAAAAATAAGGGCCAATTTTACCAAACAGAGCAAATTAGCGCGAGAGCGCAATTCCAAAACAGCGCTGATGGGCGTGGACATTTCTGTGGGTGATTTACTAACAATAAGCAAAATAAAGAACACAGACGCAACATCTCATTTACATATCGACTAACGCAATATACCAAGCGCAGCGCAAATTAGCGTAGTCGCAAATAAAGAATAAAGAAGCCAGAGTACGTTGAAAAGAACCGGAGGCCAAAAAAATGAAGGTTTGCTAGAAGTTTTGATAGACCTGGTATTGCGTGACTCCTAGTTGAGGGTTCCAAGTCGTCTTTTATTTCCTGAAGCAAATTAAAAATAGCATGGCTTGGCAAACAATATGATATGCAAACGAAATGTGGTGTTCTGGCATTCCAAATAAATTAATACGTGGAAAAAATCCTCTCCCTTCTACCACGCGCTCTCTGTTCTCTGCGGTGCCTCCTCCTAGCAACAATAATTGCAGCCATTTCAAGAGCAAAACCGTTTAAGACATGCTTTTTTTTTGGGACGTTAAATAATGGCGCAAATGCCAGTAATTTGACGAGTGCAAACATTAGTAAAACGTGTTGCGTGATTCATTTGAATACTCTCCTCCCATAAATTTTGCATCTGAAAGGGAAACTCCTATAAATGCATATTCAATAAGGTCAGGTGCAAAAATAACTGTGTCCATGCCTTTTCAGCGCTAATTCGTCACTGCGTGTCTTTAGTAAAACCTGAATGTACAATTTTAACGACAAAAGACAGTTTGCGCTGGCGCAAGCTGTTAGTAAAACTGGCCCTATAGCTCTAAAAACATACAAAAGGAACACTGCAGTGTTTATATGGACAAAGTTTGAGTCCCGTTTGCAGCATTCACATTTCCCCTTCTTCTCTCTACATTATTAAACATTATTACAGGAAGAGGAAGTCACCTGTGTGCTCACGGAACTCCACCATGGCCTTCATGGTCTTAGAGTCGGCCAATGCCATGAGCCAAAAGAGTTTGGTTCTACCACAGCCTTCATGTAGGTCCACCTTAATGGCCTCTTCCTCCTCCTTAAAGACCTGCACACAACATGAAATGTGTTATGAGAAAATTAAAATGGTACCATATTTTTTAAAGCACCATTAACTCTGTCCCCTGTGAGTATTTTGAACAACATGATGTCATATGAACAACTAGCCAACAATTACACGATTCTTGATTCCCAACCCTGGTCATGGAGTATAATTGATCCATATGTCGATGATTAGTTGTGTGTGAGTGTTCAGGTTCACCTGTCTCTGGTGGGTCCGTGTACGGCGGTGGAGATGGAGGAAGCGGTCGCAGTCGGTGCACAGGTTTCCACAAGCATTACACAGAATGATGGCTGCCGTCTCCCCGTCATCATGGTTATCACACATGGGCTGAGAATTAAACGTCAGGGTTAAGAGGTAAAGAGCTCATTCTCGGCAGAAGGACTAAATGTACTATTGCACTGATTGTGCTTTATAGCACCCTAGAGGCCTATTAGGCCCAGTGTGCCGTACCATCTGCTTCTGCTGCCCGTCTTTGCCCATCCAGCGTCCTGAAGACAGTCGGTCCACGTGGTCCTGATCCAGCACACATAGAGAGGCCAATGCGAGCCATAGCTGAAGAGGGGAAGTAGAACCATTTGAAATTTACATTCAAGTTCTTACATATATCCAGGTTTTCTATGACAGTGGGTGCCCTGTTCATATTCATCTAGATAATAAAATTAACCAAGTGATATTTAGTTGTGCTGCTGACCCATATCAGATCACATGACTGGTAAACTCCACCCGCCAATCACCCCTGATCTTCCAGCTGAAGGATCCCGAGTAATACTGACCTAGCTGGCAAATGAACAGTTGTGACAGATGAAGTGTGTGCAGTGAGTCGTACCCGAGTGGTGGCGATGCAGCGCACCGGACAGCGATGCTCCTCTTCCATCTTAGTGAGCGCAATGATGGTCTCAGCAATAGCATTCTTAGTCACCCTGGACCAGGCATCCGAGAGGTGGCCCTGGGGTAAAAAGACACTTAAATGGGGAGGGACCATTTCTGTAAATGTAGCAAAACTAGGGCTGCCAGTTAACACGTTAACCTAATTAGTTATGAAAAAAAAAACGCGATTAAAATATTTTACTGCAGTTATCGCACTGGCCCCGCCCCCAGACCTGTACGTCATCTTACATTTCATACAGTTGACAAATATGACGCAGGGCAACAACTCTGTAAATACATTTATGTCCTAAAATTCTAGATATTGTGGCAAAAATATCACACGAGTGCTGTTTATGTGGGGAGGGACCATTTCTGTAAATGTAGCAAAACTAGGGCTGCCAGTTTAACACGTTAACCTAATTAGTTATGAAAAAAAAAACGCGATTAAAATATTTTACTGCAGTTATCGCACTGGCCCCGCCCCCAGACCTGTACGTCATCTTACATTTCATACAGTTGACAAATATGACGCAGGGCAACAACTCTGTAAATACATTTATGTCCTAAAATTCTAGATATTGTGGCAAAAATATCACACGAGTGCTGTTTATGTCCGAATACCACAAGTTTAAATGTGATTTTATACAACAGTTCAGTAAAGCTAATATTGTGTTATATTTTAAACACAATATTGTCTGTTTTTGCGCAATTTTGCAGAGAAAATATTACCCTTAAAGCCACTGCAGAATTGTTGTGCGTCTCAGAGCAAAACAGCGGTGATTCGTTTCTCCGCGTTTTGAATCGAATGAATGAATGACTCAAAAACACATTTACCGCCACCTGCTGGCAGTGTTAGTTTAAAGCAGGGGTCGGGAACCTATGGCTCGCGCGCTTTAAAATAATAAAAAAAAATTTGTACCGAAAAGTGCGCGTTCAGTGCTGTTCACGAGAGTCACGACAGCAAACTGGTAACGTAGAGCTAATAAAATCAGATTCAAGTTGCTACATAGCTTGTTTGTGGTAATAGCGAAAAGAAAGATTTTTTTGAACAGCAGAAAAAGTGTTTTTCCGCGCAGCTTTCAGTGGGTGGGACTGTTAGTGTTATTTATAAAGGAACGTGAATAAATGAGACAGTAAAGAGCAGGACTTTCTTGAAGACAGACAGTATTAAAAACTCAAAGCCGCGAAACGGAACTTAATCCGCTTCTGACTGCATGTTTTCTGCGCACGAGGTCCGAGTGGAACACGGAGAAGCATAGACTTTATCTTTGGTGGCGCGCCTAAAACGGTCAAAACACGGAGTGTCAAAATGCCTGCACTGGTGTGTATTCACATAAATACGGTC